AATCTTAATCTCACCAAAATTAAGACAAGTGAAATGCTATTGCTATCCAAGTAGCTGCCAAGGTTTAACACATCAATTGGTCAAATGTGCATTAAATACACATACATATATGCATGGATAATACACACACACACACACACACACACACACACACACACACACACACCATGATTAATTAAAGTGAGTAGGGCTTCAACTATTTTAAGAAAACAACTTCTCCCTGATTGTTCTTCTGGTATTAAACAAATTACTTGGTAACCTTCCTGAATTTTGCATTGGCCAAATTACCTGCCATAGTGACTGAAGAAAGAGCTTCCGTCTCCTCTCATCAACTCTTTCACCATCTTTGAATTTGGAGGAATACAAATGCCTTAGAGCATGTGCCACAGCATAGACTGCATTGTAGATGCTGTAGCTGTGGCCAGTCATGCTCATTTCAAATATAGATTGAGAAAGAGACTCCAGCTTCTCTTCCCCAGTGCAAGTCCTGTCAGTGTTCCTGTCAGTAATATCACTGGAGAATGAGCATTCAAATGCATCTTTCCAGAAATCTCTAATAAAGCCATCTTCATTTTCTGTGTTTGGGTTTCTCTTCTGTATAAATTCTCGAAACCCTGTCAGCTCCTTTGACTGAATTGCAAATGAAAGAGCACCATGGAGAAAATCAATGGGCGATTCTCTTTGTACAAGAAGGGAGGTGAACTCCATCTGGGCTGTCATGATCCAGATTTTGGTTTTTCTCTCCGTTGGAATATTGTCAGAATCTAAAACATAGATCATTAGTCTCAAAGTCACCAGGCCTGTAATTTCAGCATTCAAGATCACTGCAATGACTGTACTCCCCATGATGACTTTGTATAGTTTATCTGCCTCCTCCACCATTTCAGCAGCTAAATTACCATACATCATTTGAGGGATACTTTCTATAAAGTCAAAGCAGATTCCTCTCTCTGTAAACATGGAAAGACTATTCTGAATGAACCTCTCTTTATCTTCCTCAACAAAGCAAACTTTCCCAACCCAGGTCCATCCAAAATGCAACAGTAAGTGTAGTATTCCATTATACTGGTGCATCTCAACTGGAAACATCCATTTGACAAACAATGCTGCTATTTCATCATTCTTCAATGGAGCTGATCCATATGTGATCTAAATGAGAATAAGAAAATAAAAGCAAAAATGAATTGTTCTAAAGAAAATACGTACAGTGCACATATGTTTCTTTAATCAAAATTCCTGTGCTTGAGTGCACTACAGAAAAAAAAAACTTTAATGCTACAGTTTTACAGCTTAACATCTGGAAGTGTAGGGCAATTCATTGAGCAAAATGGTGTAGCAATTTTGGTGATTTCCTTTTCATAAATTTTACCCTTTCTTACCTCCAATGTTTCAGGCTTCTAGGCTACTTGTAAAGAGAGTTATCATGAAGATCTGATACTTGAAGTCATTATATTTATAAAATAAATATATTTATATCTCACCTGGGGAAATTTGTAGTTGCACAGACTGGTTGCCATGTTGAGACAGGTCTTAGAACGGGGTCCTCCAATGACAGCTACTGTGTTGGTCTGGTCATTACATTTGTAGTTTGGGATAAATTTATCTTTGGTAGATAGAAATTCCATTGCTAAATGATAAGTTGTAATTTCCTCCAGATTGTCAGTTGCAATTTGGAAACCAAGGGTAATGTTGGGTAAAATTCCAGTATGTTCATTGATCTCTTTTACAGCAAATGCCAGAGCCAAAGTGTGTTGGTAATTATGAGTCAGGTACCTTCAGTAAGATTAATAAATTATGACAATATATTTCTTATTCAAATTCAGACAAGAGCTACATTTGAATAGTTTATATATTCATAATCATCTAAAATGCTTATTGTTGCCACAAATTATAGTTCTAGTTTTTGTGGATTGGGATGCACTGATGTGAGAAGGGGTATCTAACATTGAGCTGAGATATTTGTAGACCAGTCCCTTCTCTTCTTAAGTATCTTCTTAAAAATTTCTCAAAGTCATTCTGCAGTATTAGTGGAACCTAGATTTCTCTGAACTCTAGAACAAGGATCCCCAACCCCTGGTCTGTGAACTGACACAGGTCCATGGCTTGCCAGCAATCGGTCCATGAAAACAAGTCAAGCCCCATCCATAGGATGCAGGAAGCATGGGAAATCAGGCCCCCTCCAGTCCATGGAAAAACCTCTTTCCATGGAACCGATCCCTGATGCCCAAAAGGTTGGGGGGCGCTGCTCTAGAATATATACATTTATGAGGATTAGTGCAATATGGTCACCATTTTACATTTGAGTAGAAAAGTGAAAAAAATAAAGAAAAGAAGTAAAACACAGTATTTAGGTGATGATGCAGTTGTGTTTGAGGGTGAGAGAAACATATTACTCATATATTTCTTGCATACCTACAGGTACTGATCAAGTACATCATAAGAAGGAACACTTTGAAAAGTAATCTCATTGGAAAGAAAGAAGACCTGATATATGATAGCAGCAATGATTAAGTCTCCAGACTGATAATACTTGTGAACAATTGGAAGAGGATCTCTGAGCTTGCAGCTGTGAATAGGAGAATTCCACATTGTGTTAGGAAACAAGAATAAAACCAGTATTCTAAACAGAAATAACTCAATATAAAATACAGTCATTATAGGTGTCAAAGTGTTGCTCCAATTTCACCATTCAGTGGCTGGGCCGTGTCATAATCCACCGACCTCTTAGGAACTTTAAAATGAATTATCACAAATTAATTGTGCATCTTTATTATTCTCCCTACTAGTAATTCTCTTATTTCTGAGCTGATATTAATGTCATGCAATTTTTTAACATGTACTCATAGTTTTTTTTCATGTTTACTGGGATTCCCTTGAGACACAATGATAACAATACTTAGTCTGGTAATTACTTAGAACATAATAACTCACTTGCAATAGTACTTTCTTTGAAAAAAGTCAAAAGGAAATATGTGATTTTATATTTGCAGGACTGCTATAATATTTTGAACTTTTAAAACTTAATCATGAAGCAGAAAAAGGAAGCAGCATCATTTGCACTAAAGAAGAAACTTTTGAGATAATTTTTTAAAAATGCTACCATGTTGGGCAGATATATATCTACAACCAGATTCCAAACTTTCTTGATTTAAAACATAGTTTAAGAAGAACAGGAGTTTTGCAGTCATTTTGTCACTCCTTTGCTTAATGCAGTTTCTGCTCTGAAGAATGGCCGAATAATATAAGTGTTTGAGATCATAAATGGTATGAAAGTGGGAAATAATGGTGAAGTCATTGTATGACTCAGTGAGTTAAGATGTGCACATCACAAAAATAGCATAAATACAATAAACATGTCAACCATATAAAACCCACCACGTACAACAGAGCCATCACAAGACATCACTGTTTTCCAGAGATGTCTAGGCAGGATGACAAAGCCAGGTCTTGAGAAACCTTCAACAAATAAGGAGGGATGGAGCTGACCTCACCTCAGAGGGGGAAGGCTTCCATAATTTATATTTATACCTTTGGTTTTTCCTGCCTAAATGTATAACTTTGCTTTTCTCCACATTAAAATTCATTTTGTTGGATAGGGCCCATTGTTCAAGTCTGTCAAGATCCTTTTGGATCCTGAGCTTGTCCTCTAGGGTGTTAGTTATTCCTGTCAGATTAATGTCATCTGCAAATTTGTTGATTTCAAATTTGACATCATCCAGTGACAAACTTATGCATGTCTTTAATCTGTCTGTCTATCTATCTATGTGTCTGTCTGTCTGTCTGTTTATCTATCTATCTATCTATCTATCTATCTATCTATCTATCTATCTATCTATCTTTTAGTTAGCTCTCTAGATATTGAAAGACCTCTTTAGTCACAATGGTTGTTTCTATATTTTCTAACTTTTTGATTTCTCTCTCTATTGGGATTCTTCATTTACAGAAAGAAAAAAAAACCCAATATCTGTCATGGTGCCAAAGAGTAAAAATAAAAAATGTACCCATGTCCTTTTACATCAAATGTAACTCAGAGTGACCAATGTTTGCAGCTTTGGCACAGTGGTGTTTATGGGTATCATAGGGACACTAGATGGATTCCTAAATTATTTTTCATCCCAGAATTTGTTTGCATCGAAGGGGTGAGGGTTAGGGTTCTCTCCAGATAAATGACAGATGATAGATAGATAGATAGATAGATAGATAGATAGATAGATAGATAGATAGATAGATAGATAGATAGATAGATAGATGGCTTTTTGTCATAGAAGGCACTGGAACAGAGTTCTGGCACCATTTTTTGATGGATTTTCCAAAGTTGTGCTGTCCTTCTTATGCTCATTTGCTTTTGAAAATGCCCCACTGTTGGTACGGTGTGAGCGGGGTCCCTTTCAGTGCTGTCTGCCTCCTCTAGTGGAACTCATAAGGCACTGGAGCACCACCACCGGAGTGTGGCTTGATTGGCTCGGTTGGACCATGTGGTACAGAAGTTGATGGTGGTGGTGGGAAATACATAAACATGGAGGCCATCTTTCACGAGAGGGCGAGTGAGCCTTTTGCCTTCCCTTACAGAAGGTAGGGTGTGAGGTTAAAAAGATAAGAAGCGAGAGGAAAGAAAGGCAGATGGCGTGAAAGCTTGCACAACAGCAAAACGTTGCTGTTTCACTTGCTTGGGTAGTTCAAAGAACAAGTATAAAGCCAATGTCTTGTGATTTGGAGGCATCATTTTCACATTATAAAATGACCCAAAGATTTGAATTCCCCCTTGATTTTATTTTATTCATATGAGTGTTCAGCAATATTATCTAATTTTTGAAAGAACAGATTCAGAGCAGATGTCTAGGTTCATGTAATGACTCAGAAGACATGTCATAGTTACCATCATATATATTAATTTGGTGTTCCAATATGACACAGTACAGAAGATCCAAGCATTACAAAAATGTGAAAGGTTGGAAGTCACAAACCAGACTTCATTCACATTGTTAGCTAAAAAATTAATTTTATTTCCTTGCTAGTTGCTCCTTTGTATTCAAATCAGGCCTCAGAATAATGATATAGCATTTTGGGGAAAAGATGCAGACCAGTAATCCAGCTGCTGAAGCCAAAATGGAGAAGATCTCCACTGCCACCATATATTTCCCCTTGGTGCTCAGATAGGTAGGAACAAATAATATCCAGACACTGCAAAAAACCAACATGCTGAAGGTAATAAATTTGGCTTCATTGAAGCTGTCAGGTAAATTCCTAGCTAGGAAGGCCACCGTAAAGCTGACAGCAGTCAAAAATCCCATAAAGCTGAGGACAGTATAAAAATTAATGGTTGAACCTTCATTACATTGCAGGACAATTTCTTCAGCCATTGAGTGCATGTCTGAATCCGGAAATGGGGGGAAAGTTGCCAACCACACTACACAAATGGAGAATTGTGTCAGAGAGCAAGATAACACAATAGAGATAGCCAGTCCTTTCCCCACCCATTTCCTCATTTTGGAGGCTGGCTTGGTGGCCATGAAAGCAAGAACAACAATGGTAGTTTTCCCCAATATACAAGAAAGAGCTATAGAGAAGATGAGGCCAAAAGCTGTTTGTCTCATGGGACATTTCACTTGGTCAGGTTGCCCAATGAAGAGCAAAGTGCAAAGGAAGGAGAGGATGAGAGCAATGAGAAGAATGTAGGTGAGGTTTCTGTTGTTGGCTTTGACAATGGGAGTGTCCTGGTTTTTAATGAAGATCCCCAATACCAAAGCTGCCACCACAGAAAAGAAGACTGCAATAATTACCAAAGAACTGCCCATAGGCTCTTGATAGGACAAATAAATTACAATTTTTTGAAGGCAACTGTCCTGATCTTTGTTTGGATATTGATCTTCCGGACATGCCAAACAATCATCTAAGTCTAAGAAAAAAGAAAGAAAAATAAATCAGGTCATAAACATGTCTATGGAGATTTTCAGTCATCCAGGTCATAGTTATCCCAAAGATGCTTTTTCATGAGGCAACTGGATATTTTTGTTTTTCTTTGAAGACGTTTCACTTCTTGGATGAGAAGAGAATCATCTTCAAAGAAAGACAAGAAAGTCCAGTTGCCCCATGAAAAAACATCTTTTGGACAGGTCATAAAACATTATTGTTTTTAAGCATGGATATCACAGATGAGATACACCAAAGTATAATGACTTACATGGGGATTTAGATATTTTTTCTTAAAGTAATTTATAATACAATCTATAATCTGCTGCAGTGCTGATTTTCAATAAGCCCTGAGGTTTACAGCTTCCTCTGCTCTTATTCACTTCATGTAATGGACAGAAGGATTGATCTTGAGCGGCAGGAGGAAGAGCCACTACTATATAAAAGAAAGTTAAATATTAGATAAGCATCTTAGATAACCCCCTCCTCATGAAAATAAATGGAGAAAGGAGAGAAGCACATTTAGATTTGCAGGATTCCATTACTATAACCATATTCTGAAAGTAGTATGACCTGCATGAGTTTGGTTTCCAAATATGGTCTATTTTGAAAGACTGACCAAAATCTATCATGGACACAGCTTTCTTTTGTCTGATCATTGCCTCAGTAGAGCTCTTCCCTCACTCTCTCAAGATTTACCCAACTTCTCATCATACTTCCTAACTGAATTGTTGCAATGAGACTGCCCTTAAAGACTATCTGGAATATGCAATTAGTCCAGAATGCAGCTGCAAAGCACTTCTGGGTACTACATCATAACACCTCAGTTACTTTACTGCTATGTGAGCTGCTCTGACCCCAGTTGCTTTCTGGATACTTTTTAAGGTGACAATTGTCACTTTGAAGTCCTGTATTGCAGCTAAGGTACTTGTGGAACTTGGCTCTTCTCCAACCATTAGTATCTAAGGATGAAGATTGGTCTGGTGCCTAGTAGGGAGGATATTATTTTTATTCCAATTTTATTGGTAGATGTCATTCATTTAAAATCATTATATGAAAATGGCAATGGTGTAAGTTCTATATGTTTGTCAATCAAATAAAGCAATCATATATATATGGATTGAATAGGATATAAAACCAACTAGATACTTGTGGAAAAAGAATTATCAGTGTCAATTTACCTTTATTATCAAAAGAAGATACAAAAGAAAAATCCTGAATAGTTTATCAACATGTATTGCTTTCTTCAATACTGTTCATAATTTTTTTCAAGGAGACTTAAGAAGGCACAATTGAAATTTGAGAAACTTACTGATGCTTAAGAAATTTTATGCTATTTTAGGTTCATACTACCATATGTGGTGAGAATGCCCAAAGATCCATGAGTATTGGAACAGGACACGAAACTGGTTGAAGGATATATTAATACTGGACTTAGAGTTAAAACCTGAACTCTTCTTGTTGGGAATAATGACAGAAAAATACGACAAGGGAACAATCTACCTGCTGCTACACATCCTGACTGCAGCTAGGCTTGCTTTAGCGCAAAAATGGAAGAGCAAGGAAATTCCCATAGAGGAAGAGTTAATACATAAAATATTAGCATGTGCAGAAAAGGACAGGATCACAATGATATTAAAAGAAAAATGTGGATCAGTTTACTACGAAACCTGGGATAAATTTTACCGCTGGAGGAATTTGAAGAGGAAAATTGGGATTAAAGATGAATGTTAAGATAGAAATATATGTTATTTTAGAACAAGTATTGTATATAATACTTAGATGTATATGTAGAAATGAAGAATTGATTGTAAAAGGTGGAATAATCTGATAAGAGTGTATATACTGGAATGTCACGTCAAATCCAATGTTCGTTTGTTTTTAATTGTATTATAAATAAAATTTGAAAAAAAGGAAATATTATGCTATTTATGCTTATTATGCTGATTTTGTGATCAATATTTCACTGAACCATGAACAATTAATTCAGATTTTCCTTTTTTATATTAATTTAGTTAAGAATTATTATTGCAACCATAGAAACCAATACAAATCAATAAAACATAAATGAATAAAAGGGAAAATTAAAAGGTGCTGTCGTATGTCCAGTGGACCATCAGTTTCCATCTCATTCTTATAGCCTTCACTTTTAAATGCACTTTCAACTCAATCTGTGTTCTGTGAAATAGAACTTGACCTTCTTCCATAAAATCTTTTAAATGTAATCTATCTATTGAGGCAGATGCTATTAAAATTAGCATCAGGGTCCACCATTCAAAAATATCCTCTAACTTACTCAATGATGTAAAACCTTTTGAAAAATGAGATAATAAAAGCACAGTCTAGCACAATACCAACAAAGAGGAAAAATAACAGCTCTCAAAAGAAACCAGCATGGCTGCATAAAGAACTCTCTGACAAATTGAAAGATAAAAAGGACAAGTATAGAAAGTGGAAAGAGGGGAACATAACTAAGTCAGAATATCAGCAAATAGCCCGAGCCTGCAAAGATGAAGTGAAGAAAGCCAAGGCTCAAAATGAACTAGGCTTGCGACCAAAGTCAAAAATAACAAAAAAAGCTTCTTTCAACATGTAAAAAACAAGAAAAAAGTGAAGGAAATGATTGGTCCATTAGTGGGTGGAAGTGGCAAGAAGGTGACAAGCAACAGGGAGAAAGCAGAACTATTTAACTCATTTTTTGCATCTGTCTTTACACAAAGGGAAAAAACAGACCAACCTATCAAAAATAGTGCCACAAAAAACAAAACAGAAACACAAGTTAAGATAGGCAAGAAAATCGTTAGTGAGCACCTGTCCAGCCTAGATGAGTTCAAATCGCCAGGACCAGAGGATTACACCCCAGAGTTCTCAAGGAACTGGCAGATGTGATATCGGAGCCACTGAACTATATTTTTCAAAGATCCTGGAACACAGGGGAACTACCAGAGGACTGGAAAAGAGCTGATGTAGTTCCCATCCTCAAAAAAGGAAAAAAAATGGATCCAGGAAATTACAGACCTATCAGCCTGACCTCAATACCTGGGAAGATCCTGGAAAAGATAATCAAACAACGAATCAACGAACACCTAGAGGCAAACAAAGTCATTACTAAAAGCCAACATGGGTTTGTCAAAAATAGATCATGCCAGACAAATCTTATTGCATTCTTTGACCAAGTGACAAAATTAGTGGATCAGAGGAATGCTGTGGACATAATTTACTTGGACTTCAGTAAGGCATTTGATAAAGTAGATCACAACCTACTACTTGACAAGATAGAAAAATGTGGGGTAGACAGAACCACCACCAGATGGATCCGTAGCTGGCTGACCGGCCGTACTCAGCGAGTGGTCCTCAATGGAACTGCATCTATATGGAGGGAAGTGTGTAGTGGGGTGCCCCAGGGCTCTGTTCTGGGCCCAGTACTCTTCAACATCTTCATCAACGATTTGGATGAAGGGATAGATGGGGAACTCATCAAATTTGCAGATGACACCAAGCTGGCAGGAATAGCCAACACTCCAGAAGACAGGCTTCAGATACAGAAGGATCTGGACAGACTTGAACACTGGGCACTAACTAACAAAATGAAATTCAATGGTGAAAAAAGCAAGGTTCTACATTTAGGCAAGAAAAACCAAATGCACAAGTACAGCATAGGTGGCACCATGCTCAATAGTAGTAACTGTGAGAGGGACCTCGGAGTCCTAGTAGACAATCACTTAAATATGAGCCAGCAGTGTGCAAAAAGGCCAACACAGTGCTAGGCTGCATTAACAGAGGGATAGAATCAAGATCACGTGAAGTATTAATACCACTCTTCAATGCCTTGGTAAGGCCACACTTGGAATACTGCATCCAGTTTTGGTCACCACGATGTAAAAAAGATGTTGAGACTCTAGAAAGAGTACAGAGAAGAGCAACAAAGATGATTAGGGGACTGGAGGCTAAAACATATAAGGAACGGTTGCGAGAATTGGGTATGTCTAGTTTAACGAAGAGAAGGACAAGGGGGGACATGATAGCAGTATTCCAATATCTCAGGGGCTGCCATAAAGAAGAGGGAATTAAGCTATTTTCCAAAGCACCTGAAGGCAGGACAAGAAGCAACGGGTGGAAACTCATCAAGGAGAGAAGCAACCTAGAACTAAGGAGAAACTTCATGACAGTGAGAACAATTAATCAGTGGAACAGCTTGCCTCCAGAAGCAGTAAATGCTCCAACACTGGAAGTTTTTAAGAAGAGACTGGACAGCCATTTGTCCGAAATGGTGTAGGGTTTCCTGCCCGAGCAGGGGGTTGGACTAGATGACCTCCAAGGTCCCTTCCAACTTTACTACTTTACTACTATTACATGCTGTCAATCCAAAAAATTGCTACTAGCCAAAAAGCAGTTAACAAGAAATTTCCAAAAGTGATTAGAAAGGAAGTTAGCAAATTTACTGTCCCTTCTAAAGTGCCAACGAGTATCCGAGCAAGATAGGTTTTCTCTTGTCTACCAAAGCACTAAACCTTTTGGAGACCACTTTTTGATGGTCTCCTCGAGCTGTCTGGAGACCTTCTGTGGGAGATCTCAAGTCCTCTCCTTGTCTGAAGAGGAATTATTGAAGAGTCAGTCTGTTTGCTGGCTTTCATTCTACCACAGTCATTTCTCTTCTCATGGAGCCATCTTCAGTTCACAATTACTTCTCTGGACGCCCCAACAATATATTTTAAATGTTCATCACTAAACTATACAACTAGTGGTGGATTTCAGCCAGTTCATACCACTTTGGCAGAACTGGTAGCTAATTGTTTGTTGCCTAGGCCCAGAATGGACTTACAGAAGTGGCATCCACACAGAGAACCAGTTATTCACATATTTGAATCCCACCACTGTATACAACCTGAGGTAAACTTCAAGATTTCCAGGCACCACAATATTATTACAAATCAATTTCCATTTACACTTATTAAACCATCAATACATCCAATATATTCCTTTGCTTACCCCTTTGGTCAGCTGTCTTCCCTTCTGGACACCGTTTACAGTCATAGCAACAAGATAATTTCCCTTCCAGTTTTATTTTGCTATGGCCAAGGGGACATTTCTCATTACAGATGGAAAGAGGTAATGTCTGTTGATAAATAAAATCATTTTTTTCACATAAAGAACTTATGTTTCATGAGTTATAACTTTTTGTTATAAATCATAACTTTTGATCACTTACAAATATTCAAAACCCTTACATTAAATCTGAAACTTGCTGTTCCACTTTTCAGATTTGTTTCGGTTTCAATTCCCCACCAAATCCCTCAATTTCTCCTTATCTCTCACCTATTACTAATGATGTGATTGTGGCAAACATTGTATTGTAAGAATCTGTTCTGAGAAAACCAGTACCAGAAACTGCTCGGAGCAGTTTTTAATTCTGAAGCCCTTAAAAGACACTTTCCTTAAGATTCCAATCTTGTTTTCTGTTCCTACTCATCTTAGAGCAATTTGTGTACTTGGTAAAATGAGGTGAAGTTCATATAGAATCTATGATAAATGAGATCACTTTATACAGTAAGTGGAGCTTATTATCATTCAGCATATGCCTAATATGGAGGATGCTACCCTTAATGCCAATTTGGAAATATCAGAAGCTAAGAACTGTGCTCTATTTAGTATAATATGTAGTTACTGTGACTATCAATATACCATCTTTTGGCTACATTCTAATTTATTTTACTAAAATGCAGTTTCTTTAATATTATATTCATTATTATATATGGATCTGTGACAACATACACATGAAAAATGTATTCTTTCATATGCTTTCAATGTCTGCATAGATTCCCCTCCATCGCTGTGACATGCATTTTGAGAAGCAATCTGTCCCAGATAAATTAACATAAGATTATTAATTCTGTCATTCTAAAATTAAAAACTTGCCTGAAATATAGGCTCCAATCAGTCACATAAGCATTGAAGCTGATTAGTTTTAAATAATTTGAAGCCCTCGTATTAAAATTGTTTTTTATTCCACAGATGTTTATTTAATTTATTTTAATTTTAATTTTTTTAAATAATTTAAAAACAGTATAACAATTAGCAAATTTATTATATGATTGGAATATTAAATAATTGTGAGTAATCTTAATTTTATTAATAAATTATACAGTTATACCCAGGGCTTTTTTCTCATAGAATGCCCAGAATGGAGTTCCAGCACCTTTTTTGGATGGAACCTTGTAGGGGAATCTATGCAAACATTGTAGGATAGGCAAGGCGGGTTGTATGACATGTGTGAGTTCCAGCACCTTTTTTTTTTCAAAAAAGCACTGGTTATACCAGTTATCAACCTAAGATATGCAGATGATACCACTCTAATGGCAGAAAGTGAAGAGGAACTAAAGAGCTTCTTGATGCGGGTGAAGGAGAGTGCAAAAGTTGGCTTGAAACTCAACATTAAGAAAAGCAAAATCATGGTATCCGGCCCTCTCAATTCCTGGCAAATAGATGGGGAAGAAATGGAGGTAGTGACAGATTTTATTTTTCTGGGCTCCAAGATCACCTCAGATGGGGACTGCAGCCAAGAAATTAAAAGACGCTTGCTCCTGGGGAGGAAAGCTATGGCAAATCTAGACAGCATACTAAAAAGCAGAGACATCACCCTGCCAACAAAAGTGGGTATAGTCCAGGCCATGGTTTTCCCAGTTGCAATGTATGGCTGTGAAAGTTGGACCATAAGAAAGGCTGAGCGCAAAAGAATTGAGGCCTTTGAACTATGGTGCTGGAGAAGACTCCTGCGAGTCCCTTGGACTGCAAGGCGTTCAAACCGGTCAGTCCTAGAAGAGATCAACCCGACTGCTCTTTAGAAGGCCAGATCCTGAAGTTGAAACTCAAATACTTTGGCCACCTAATGAGAAGGAAGGACTCATTGGAGAAGGGCCTAATGCTGGGAAAGATTGAGGGCAATAGAAGAAGGGGACAACAGAGAATGAGATGGCTGGATGGAGTCACTGAAGCAGTAGGTGTGAACTTAAATGGACTCCAGAAAATGGTAGAGGACAGGAAGACCTGGAGGAACGTTGTCCATGGGGTCGCGATGGGTTGGAGACGACTTCGCAATTAACAACAACAACATACCAGTTATGCCATATTCTTTAATATGCTGAATATGTTAATTTTTTCATGGGCTATGTTTTAGTTTAACAACTGTGGCATAAGATGGCAGGAATCAGAATTCAAAATTGAGTTACTTTCCATCTGGCTGATATTACCAGCTATGTGAAGGTTGCATTTTTGTTCGAAGTTTGGACCAGATTTTTTTAAAAAAATGGATTTTTTTTCTTCTCTAAAAATGCTGTTCATAGCCTTATTCTCCTTTCCAAAAGATTTTTACTTTGGATACATCCAGCAATGATTAAAAAAAAAGATTCCTTTTGTTGACATCATCATTAATTTGGGGGATATGATTCTCTGATTAAGATAAATAGGCATATGATATCATTTATAAATCAAATTCAGCATTTTATCTGACAAATGTAGAAAAAGATCACAAACAAGTTATTTTCCACCATATTCTTTCCCTAACTGATTAGGGAAAATAAGTTTTTTAAAGTTTTTTTTTTAAAAAAAAAAAACACAAACAAACTATGTCCTCTCCTTTTTAAAATGATGTTTATCAATAGTATGAATTCCTACTAGCATCTTTGAATTAGAATAGCTGGCTGGCTGGAATTTTCAGGAACAAATATTTTTAATATATAATTTCTGCTGACTATCAACAAATAGCCCAAGCCTGCAAAGATGAAGTGTGGAAAGCTAAGGCTCAAAATGAACTAAGGCTTGCGACAAAGTAAAAAATAACAAAAAAAGCTTCTTTCAACATGTAAAAAACAAGAAAAAAGTGAAGGAAATGATTGGTCCATTAGTGGGTGAAAGTGGCAAGAAGGTGACAAGCAACAGGGAGAAAGCAGAACTATTTAACTTGTTTTTTTGCGTCTGTCTTTATACAAAGGGAAAAAACAGACCAACCTACCAAAAATAGTGCCATAAAAAACAGAATAGAAACGCAAGTTAAGATAGGCAAGAAAACGGTAAGTGAGCACCTGTCCAGCCTAGATGAGTTCAAATCACCAGGATTACACCCTAGGGTTCTCAAGGAACTGGCAGATGTGATCTCAGAACCACTGAACTATATTTTTCAAAGATCCTGGAGCACTGGGGAAGTACCGGAGGACTGGAAAAGAGCTGATGTAGTTTCCATCTTCAAAAAAGGAAAAAAAAATGGACCTAGGAAATTATAGACCTATCAGCCTGACCTCAATACCTGGGAAGATTGTGGAAAAGATAATCAACAAATCAGCGAACACCTAAAGGCAAACAAAGTCATTACTAAAAGCCAAAAACAAATCATGCCAGACAAATCTTACTGTATTCTTTGACCAAGTGACAAAATTAGTGGATCAGAGGAATGCTGTGGATATAATTTACTTGGACTTCAGTAAGGCATTTGATAAAGTAGATCACAACCTACTACCTGATAAGATAGAAAAATGTGGGTTAGACAGCATCACCACCAGATGGATCCTGGCTGACTGGCCGTACTCATCGTGTGGTCCTCAATGGAACTGCATCTACATGGAGGGAAGTGTGTAATGGGGTGCCCCAATGCTCTATTCTGGGCCCAGTGATCTTCAACATCTTCATCAATGATTTGGATGAGGGAATAGATGGGGAACTCATCAAATTTGTAGACGACACCAAACTGGCAGGAATAGCCAACACTCCAGAAGACAGGCTTAGGATACAGGAGGATCTGGACAGACTTGAACACTTGGCACTATCTAACAAAATGAAATTCAATGGTGAAAAAAGTAAAGTTCTATATTTAGGCAAGAAAAACCAAATGTACAGGTATAGTATAGGGGGTACCTTGCTGAATAGTAGTAACTGTGAGAGAGACTTCGGAGTCCTAGTGGACAATCACTTAAATATGAGCCAGCAGTGTGCTGTAGCTGCCAAAAAGGTCAACATAGTGCTGGGCTGCATTAACAGAGGGATAGAATCAAGATCACATGAAGTATTAATATCACTTTACAATGCCTTGGTAAGGCCACACTTGGAATACTGCATCCAGTTTTGGTTACCACCATGTAAAAAAGATGTTGAGACTCTAGAAAGAGTACAGAGAAGAGCAACAAAGATGATTAGGGGACTGGAGGCTAAAGCATATGAGGAAAGGTTGATGGAATTGGATATGTCTAGTTTAATGAAGAGAAGGACGAGGGGGACATGACAGCAGTATTCCAATATCTCAAGACCTGCCACAAAGAAGAGGAAGTCAAGCTATTTTCCAAGGTGCCTGAAGGCAGGACAAGAAGCAACGGATGAAAACTAATTGAGGAGAGAAGCAACGTAGAACTAAGGAGAAACTTCCTGACAGAACAATTAACCAATGGAAGAACCTGCCTCCAGAAGTGGTGAATGCTCCAACACTGTAAGTTTTTAAGAAGAGACTGGACAGCCATTTGTCTGAAATGGTATAGGGTTTCCTGCCTGAGAAGGGGGTTGGACTAGATGACCTCCAAGGTCCCTTTCAACTTTATTATTATTATTATTATTAATCATCACACAGTCAGCCAGATGTTCAGACTGGCATTTTGTCTACCTATCGAGTCCTTACCGAGGACCTGGAATATTATTATTATTATTATTACTATTATTATTATTATTTGATCAGTTTTAGGGGAAGTAATTCAAAATTTAATTTTAATGAAATGAAATCATAAACAATGTATGCCCCACTTTTTAAAATATTCTCTTTCAATAAGTCGTTCATTTTCAATCTCTGAACCTATATAGATTTCAAGATTTCTAGAATTTCTAGATTTCCATTCTTTTACTAGTATACATCTTGTATACTGGGATAGAATTGCCTTGAAACTCCACTTGTAATTCAGGTTCCACAAACTGTTCAACCAACAGTCTCAATAAATTTTGTGATAACTTATGTTCGTAAACCTTTATATCCCTTTCTATAGCATGGGTCCAGGGTAACTGAGAAACTGCCTTACCCAATGAGATTAAGCCATTCCACTTGTTCCAATGGAGAAAGCTACTTCAAATCTTTTTGGTCAGTGAATTTTAGCTGGCAGGATCCAGGAGAAGAATCTTTTCTGTTGTGGACTTGCCCTATAGAATATTCTCCCATCAGACGTGAAGTCTGCCCCACATTCCTGGCCTTCTGGAAGAGCCTAAGAATTTAGCTCTGCTGCTTGACCTGATCCCCAACAAGAGACTGCTATATTGGAGGGTGGTTGATAATAGAAAAATATTCTCACTCCTAGGAAAATACTCCATCATATTGGTTCTTAATTTTTAACATTTTTACTCTAATTTTATTTTTTTTAGTATTTTCTAACTTTTTATTATATTGTAAGGTGTCCAGAGTCATTGTATTAGTGAGATGGGTGATACAGAAAATCAATAAATTGATACATATCACACCCAAAAGGAAAAAAAAAATCTGATACATGCGTACACTATACATACATGTGTCAGTAGCTGACTGATTTCATAATAGCAAAAATGGAGACACACCTGATTAAACCTGTGGGGCCAAATAATGTCCTTGGTAGAAATGGTGAGAAGATTGCATGGGGTAGCCATAGGCTCAATTTTTCCAACTTTAACTCTTAGAAATGACTTATTTGGGAATATCAACCAATTGGAAACATCAAATCCAGTTACTAATTCTCCATTGGAGCCAAAAGAAATATGTTCCCCTGCACTGTTATTAAAGGAGACCTGTTGCAAAAAATGGTGGAGCTAAAGAAAAGAAAAGAAGAAATGAAAAGAAAGAAAATAAAGAGAGAGAGAGAGAGGAAGGAAGGAAGGAAGGAAGGAAAGGAAGGAAGGTAGGAAGGAAGGAAGGAAAGAGAAAGAAGAAAGAAAGAAAGAAAGAAAGAAAGAAAGAGAGAGAGAGAGAGAGAGAAAGAAAGAAAGAAAGAAAGAAAGAAAGAAAGAAAGAAAGAAAGATTAACAGAATTCTTTGAAGAGAATAAACAAATATCTGTTTCTTCCTTATTATTTCAATTACGATGAAATCTTCATGGAAAGGAAGGAAGGAAGGAAGGAAGGAAGGAAGGAAGGAAGGAAGGAAGGAAGGAAGGAAGGAAGGATAGGAGGGAGGGAGGGAGGGAGGGAGGGATAGCTAATTTCTTCCTTTCAATTTGGTCTAGGCTTAGTGGAAAATTGAATTATCACAAGTCTATACCACCTATAAAACTGGAAGAGAAATGTGTTCTCCAGCACATACTTTTTCTATCTTATTCTCTAACATTATTTTTATTAAAAAAATTAGATGAGAATTCCATCACAAAAAGAAGAAAGAGGAATTTGATAGATCATTTAATTGAAATAAATTCCAAATTTCAAATAAAGATGCCCTTTAAAAATTAAAAAAAAATAATTAAAAATGAACTTTATACAGTTCATTGGCAAAGGCGCTATTACCATAATTAATATTATTCTTATTTCCACAAAATTTTTCTTTCCTCTCTTTTCATCTTGCCTCAGGATGAGAATTTTATGATGAGAGAATGGAGGTAGGGAATAGTATTAAAATTTACATGGAGACCTGGAAAATCATAGTAGCTAAGAGACTGTACTCTACCAAAAATCAGGAAAGTTGTCCAATGGATCCAGACATGTAATTTACATTTCTCTAGGAATAAAAATGCATGTGCTCATCGATAATTGCTTAGAAAAGTTTTCCCCTTTAAATCTTAATCTCACCAAAATTAAGACAAGTGAAATGCTATTGCTACCCAAGTAGCTGCCAAGGTTTAACACATCAATTGGTCAAATGTGCATTAAATACACATACATATATGCATGGATAATACACACACACACACACACACACACACACACACACACACCATGATTAATTAAGGTGAGCAAACCTTCAGCTATTTTAAGAAAACAACTTCTCCCTGATAGTTCTTCTGGTATTAAACAAATTACTTGGTAACCTTCCTGAATTTTGCATTGGCCAAAATTACCTGCCATAGTGACTGAAGAAAGAGCTTCCGTCTCCTCTCATCAACTCTTTGACCATCTTTGAATTTGGAGGAATACAATTGCCTTAGAGCATGTGCCACAGCATAGACTGCATTGTAGATGCTGTAGCTGTGGCTAGTCATGCTCATTTCAAATATAGATTGAGAAAGAGACTCCAGCTTCTCTTCCCCAGTGCAGGTCCTGTCAGTGTTCCTATCAGTAATATCACTGGAGAATGAGCATTCAAATGCATCTTTCCAGAAATCTCTAATAAAGCCATCTCCATTTTCTGCGTTTGGGTTTCTCTTCTGTATAAATTCTCGAAACCCTGTCAGCTCCTTTGACTGAATTGCAAATGAAAGAGCACCATGGAGAAAATCAATGGGCAATTCTCTTTGCACAAGAAGGGAGGTGAATTCCATCTGGGCTGTCATGATCCAGACTTTGGTACTTCTCTCGTTTGGAATATTGTCAGAATCTAAAACATAGATCATTAGTCTCAAAGCCACCAGGCCTGTAATTTCAGCATTCAAGATCACTGCAATGACTGTACTCCCCATGATGACTTTGTATAATTTATCTGCCTCCTCCACCATTTCAGCAGCTAAATTACCATACATCATTTGAGGGATACTTTCTATAAAGTCAAAGCAGATTCCTCTCTCTGTAAACATGGAAAGACTATTCTGAATGAACCTCTCTTTATCTTCCTCAACAAAGCAAACTTTCCCAACCCAGGTCCATCCAAAATGCAACAGTAAGTGTAGTATTCCATTATACTGGTGCATCTCAACTGGAAACATCCATTTGACAAACAATGCTGCTATTTCATCATTCTTCAATGGAGCTGATCCATATGTGATCTAAATGAGAATAAGAAAATAAAAGCAAAAATGAATTGTTCTAAAGAAAATACGTACAGTGCACATATGTTTCTTTAATCAAAATTTCTGTGCTTGAGTGAATTACAAAAAAAAAACTTTAATGCTACAGTTTTATAGCTTAACATCTGGAAGTGTAGGGCAATTCATTGAGCAAAATGGTGTAGCAATTTTGGTGATTTCCTTTTCATAAATTTGACCCTTTCTTACCTCCAATGTTTCAGGCTTCTAGGCTACTTGTAAAGAGAGTTATCATGAAGATCTGATACTTGAAGTCATTATATTTATAAAATAAATATATTTATATCTCACCTGGGGAAATTTGTAGTTGCACAGACTAGTTGCCATGTTGAGACAGGTCTTAGAACGGGGTCCTCCAATGACAGCTACTGTGTTGGTCTGGTCATTACATTTGTAGTTGGGGATAAATTTATCTTTTGTAGATAGAAATTCCATTGCTAAATGATAAGTTGTAATTTCCTCATGATTGTCAGTTGCAATTTGGAAACCAAGGGTAATGTTGGGTAAAATTCCAGTATGTTCATTGATCTCTTTTACAGCAAATGCCAGAGCCAAAGTGTGTTGGTAATTATGAGTCAGGTACCTTCAGTAAGATTAATAAATTATGTCAATATATTTCTTATTCAAATTCAGACAAGAGCTACATTTGAATAGTTTATATATTCATAATAATCTAAAATGCTTATTGTTGCCACAACATATGGAATGTGGTCTTTAGCAAACTATAGTCCTAGTTTTTGTGGATTGGGATGCATTGATGTGAGGAGGGGTATCTAACATTGAGCTGAGAAATTTGTAGACCCATCCCTTCTCTTCTTAAGTATCTTCTTCTTAAAAATTTGTCAAAGTCATTCTGCAGTATTAGTGGAAGCTAGATTTCTCTGAACTCTAGAACAAGGGTCCCCAGCCCTTGGTCTGTGAACTGACACAGGTCCACGGCTTGCCAGCAATCGGTCCATGAAAACAAGTCAAGCCCCATCCATAGGATGCAGGAAGCATGGGAAATCAGGCCCCCTCCAGTCCATGGAAAAACCTCTTTCCATGGAACCGATCCCTGATGCCCAAAAGGTTGGGGGCCGCTGCTCTAGAATATGTACATTTGTGAGGATTAGTGCAATATGGTCACCATTTTACATTTGAGTAGAAAAGTGAAAAAAATAAAGAAAAGAAGTAAAACACAGTATTTAGGTGATGATGCAGTTGCGTTTGAGGGTGAGAGAAACATATTACTCATATATTTCTTGCATACCTACAGGTACTGATCAAGTACATCATAAGAAGGAACACTTTGAAAAGTAATCTCATTGGAAAGAAAGAAGACCTGATATATGATAGCAGCAATGATTATGTCTCCAGACTGATAATACTTGTGAACAATTGGAAGAGGATCTCTGAGCTTGCAGCTGTGAATAGGAAAATTCCACATTGTGTTAGGAAACAAGAATAAAACCAGTATTCTAAACAGAAATAACTCAATATGAAATACAGTCATTATAGGTGTCAAACTGTTGCTCCAATTTCACAATTCAGTGGCTGAGCTGTGTCATAATCCACCGACCTCTTAGGAACTTTAAAATGAATTATCACAAATTAATTGTGCATCTTTATTATTCTCCCTACTAGTAATTCTGTATTTCTGAGCTGATATTAATGTAATGCAATTTTTTAACATGTACTCATAGTTTTTTTTCATGTTTACTGGGATTCCCTTGAGACATAATGATAACAATACTTAGTTTGGTAATTACTTAGAACATAATAACTCACTTGCAATAGTACTTTGTTTGAAAAAAGTCAAAAGGAAATATGTGATTTTATATTTGCAGGACTGCTATAATATTTTGAACTTTTAAAACTTAAACATGAAGCAGAAAGAGGGAGCAGCATCATATGCACTAAAGAAGAAACTTTTGAGATATTTTTTTAAAGATGCTACCATGTTGGACAGATACATATCTACAACCAGAGTCCAAACTTTCTTGATTTAAAACATAGTTTAAGAAGAACAGGAGTTTGCAGTCATTTTGTCACTCCTTTGCTTAATGCAGTTTCTGCTCTGAAGAATGGCCGAATAATATGAGTGTTTGAGATCATAAATGGTTTGAAAGTGGGAAATAATGGGGAAGTCATTGTATGACTCAATGAGTTAAGATGTGCATATCACAAAAATAGCATAAATACAATAAACAAGTCAAATATATAAAACCCACCATGTACAACAGAGCCATCACAAGACATCACTGGTTGCCAGAGACCTCTAGGCTGGATGACAAAGCCAGGTATTGAAAGACCTCCAGACAATAAGGAGGGATGGAGCTGACCTCACCTCAGAGTGGGAAGGCTTCCATAATTTAGATTTATACCTTTGGTTTTTCCTACCTAAATATAAAACTTTGCTTTTCTCCACAATAAAATTCATTTTGTTGGATAGGGCCCATTGTTCAAGTCTGTCAAGATCCTTTTGGATCTTGAACTTGTCTTCTAGAGCAGTGTTTCCCAAACTTGACAATTTTAAGGCATGTGGACTTGAAATCCACATGCCTTAAAATTGTCAAGTTTGGGAAACACTGTTCTAGAGTGTTAGTTATTCCTGCCAGATTAATATCATCTGCAAATTTGTTGATTTCAAATTTGATATCATCCAGTGACAAACTTATGCATGTCTATTGTCTGTCTGTCTATCTATCTATCTGTCTGTCTGTCTATCTATCTATCTATCTATCTATCTATCTATCTATCTATCTATCTATCTTTTAATTAGCTCTCTAGATATTGAAAGTTTTTTTTAGTCACAATGGTTGTTTCTATATTTTCTAACTTTCTGATTTCTCTCTCTATTGGGATTCTTCATTTACAGAAAAAGAGACAACATGCAATATCTGTCATGGTATCAAAGAGTAGGAATAAAAAATGTACCCATATCCTTTCCCATCAAATGTAACTCAGAGTGACCAATGTTTGTAGCATTTGCACAGTTGTGTTTATGGATATCATAGGGACACTAGCTGGATTCCTAAATTATTTTTCATCTCAGAATTTGTTTGCATAGGTTTGAAGGAATTGAAGAGGTTAGGGTTTTCTCCAGATAAATGTTAGATGATTGATAGATAATGATAGACAGATGGACGGACAGACAGATAGACAGACAGACAGACAGACAGACAGACAGACAGACAGACAGACAGACAGACAGACAGACAGACAGACAGACAGATAGATAGATAGATAGATATTTTTTTTGACATAGAATGCACTAGAATGGAGTTCTGACACCATTTTTGAATGGATTTTCCAAAGTTGCATTCTTTTCCTATTGTTGCCCTTCCTATCCTCATTTGCTTTTGAAAATGCCCACTGGTGGTACAGTCTGAACGGGGTCCCCTCTAGTGCTGTCTACCTACTCTAGGAGAAGTCATAAGGCACTGGAGCACCACCGCCAGAGTGTGGCTTGATTGACTGGGTTGGACCATGTGGTGCAGAAGTTGATGGTGGTGGTGGGAAACACATAAACATTGAGGCCATCTTTCACAAGAGGGTGAGTGAGCCTTTTGCCTTCCCTTACAGAAGGTGGGGTGTGAGGTTAAAAAGATAAGAAGTGAGAGGAAAGAAAGGCAGATGGCGTGGAAGCTTGCCCAACAGCGAAATATTGCTGTTTCAGTTTCTTGGGTAGTTCAAAGGCTGGGATGTCTAAGAAAATCTCTCTTTAGACTTTCATACTTTATATCCAAACTGTAGAGGGGAAGAAGAAGAATAAAGCCAATGTCTTGAGATTTGGAGGTATTATTATTAATAATAATATATATTAATTATGTATTGGTCAGATGTAAAGGTAGACCAACATTATGAGGTTTAATCAGATCTATTTATTAAATTGGGTTTAACTTAAAGGAAACTTAAAAGTAATCTGTTCACTGACAAAGTTTCAACTTTAATTTGTTTCAAGTCAATATCCATATTAAACTCCCAATGTAAAATTTTCCACCTTGTTTGACAACTTAAAAATAATTCAATCTTTTACAAGCAACCAAATTTTGTTTTATTGTGCCAATTTCATTCCACATAGAAAGCTGGCATTTCCACTCATTAAACTAAATGTCCCAAAAGATTAATAAAATGCCTTCTTGCAATTTAAAGCCACACAGTGCATGGTAACATTAATAGTATTAACTTACCTTGAACAAAATCCTAGTCTTTTAGATACATTACAAATCAAAGATTTTTTTTTTACTACAAAGGTAAACCTTGTAGGGTAGGCAAGGGTCTTTTTTAATGTGTGTGAGTTCTTACAAGTCTCTGCAGCTTTTTATTAAGGTTTTTCACAAATAGACTGCCATTGCCTTGTTCCCCTGGCTGAGAAAAAGTGGCTGGGCCCAAGGTCACCAAGCTGACCTTGTGTCTACGGTCAGAATTGAAGTCAAAGTCTACTGATTTCTATCTTGATGCTGCTATATCTATCTATCTATCTATCTATCTATCTATCTATCTATCTATCTATCTATCTATCTATCTATCTATCTGCTGAACAATTAACCTTTGGGGCTCCTATCACAGTGGAATCACCCCATTCTATCCAGGATTTGTTAGCATCCAGGGGGGGGATTGGCTTACAGCCTCCCGAGTAGAGCAGTATCAGATTGCACTCCTTGACAACCCACAAGTTCGTATCAAGCACAGTAGCAGGTTCAATCCAGCCACCTTTCTTCACCAACTGGAACAGAATAGTGATCATTATTGTGTACAGACTATTACAGAAGTATTTTCTGGCCAACTGGATTTAACTGACCAGCCATTAGAGAAAGCAGACATAAACCTGTATACAGATAGCAGCAGTTTTATGAGACAGGAAGAAAGGCTAGCTGGCTATGCCGTGGTCACATTGGATCAGGTGGTGGAAGCAGCAGCTCTCCCTGCAGGTACCTCAGCTCAGAAAGCTGAACTCATTGCCTTGATGAGGGCCTTGGAATTATCAGAGGGTGTGGTTGTTAATATCTTTACAGACAGTAAATTTGCTTTTAGTGTTCTACATGTATTTGGGGCTTTGTGGAAAGAACGTGGTTTGTTCACTGCTCAAGGTACCCCTGTAAAATATGGACAGGATATTTTGAGGATTCTGGATACTATTTTGCTCCCACACAAGGTGGCTATCATGCATGTGAGGGCCCTTGGTAAAGATGATATTAAACATGGAAGGGTGAATGCCTTGGCTGACTACACCACAAAGTCTGCCGCATCAGGTTCCCTGTCCCCTTGGTATGTGGGTGCATTTGTACCTTCACTTTTGCCTGTGCCGCTCCAACATACACTTCACAGGATAGGCACAGAGTTTATAAAAGGGATGCTGTTTATCAGGGATGGGAAACGCCTTCTCCAGAACATGAATTATGGGCCCTCTTATAGTAATTGCATGCCAGCACTCATTGGGGTTATAAGGCTAGGGCTGAATTTCTTATCAAGGATTATATATGTCCTGGATATATGACAAGGCCCTCACAACAATCAAGCAATGTATCATTTGTCAACATAATAATCCAGTGAGGAGTGTTAAGTTTCCCTTGGGGAGGCTTAGGGCTGGCCATGCTCCTGCTAGTTTTGGGGAGGTTGATTTTACTGAGTTGCCAAGGAAACAGGGTTTTCCATACTTGCTCGTTTTTCTGGATGCTTTCTCTGGACGGGTCGAGGCTTTTCCTTGTTGTATTAACAAGGCACGTGAGGTGGTCAAGGCCCTTCTAAAGGAAAATATCCCATGTTTTTCCCTTCCAAACCAAGGCATTGGCTCTGACAATGGGCCCCACTTTATCTCTGATATTACCCAGCAGGTGTCACGGGCCCTGGGTATTAATTGGCAGCTTCATTCAGCCTACAGGCCCCAATCCTCAGCACATGTGGAGAAGGCTAATGGTGTTCTTAAACATCATCTTGCCAAGCTTGCTCAGGAGACACATCTTACTTGGGTCCAGGCACTACCCCTCACTCTTTTGCATGTGAGAACTGCCCCCAAGCAACCTCTTGGCCTGTCCCCCTTTAAGATCATGTATGGTCAGCCCTTTCTTTATCATTCTTCCTTATCCACTTCCCTCACTGTTTTTGGAGACCAGGCCCTCAGAGAATATATACACTCTCTTGCTAATAATATTTCTTCCATTTCTCAAGCTGTACAGGCACTCCATCATCTGGGATTGGATCATCCACTCCACCCTTTCCTTCCTGGTGACTGGGTAATTGTCAAGTCCTAGACTGATTCTGGCCCTTTAGCTGAATGCTTGTAAAGGACCCTTCATTGTTCTTCCTGCTACCGATATGGCAGTCAAGGTTGCTGGAATTCATGCTTGGATTCATCACACTCACTGTCCCTCTTCTTCACCATGTTCTGATGCTGAGGACCAAGTTGCTTGGACTGTGACCCCTGATCCTGAGGAAGACCTTGGG